TTGATAAATGCCCTTTTTTTTTTTTTTTTTTTTTTGTAAAAAAAACCAGGAATGTCAAAACTTGCAATTAGAACATACGAGTTTGGCAGAAATAACAAGTCAATTGTGGATTCTGGCTCAGGAATGAGTTTGTTTGAGATATTGATGGATTCACTTTGTAAAGAAGGGTCTGTGAGGGAAGCTTCAGAGTATTTCCTTTGGAGAAAGGAGTTGGACTTAGGTTGGGTTCCTTCTATTCGGGTGTATAACATAATGTTAAATGGATGGTTTCGATCGAGGAAACTCAAGCAGGGTGAGAGACTTTGGGAAGAGATGAAGAAGGAGAATGTGAGACCAAGTGTTGTGACATATGGTACCCTTGTGGAAGGATATTGTCGCATGCGCCGAATCGAAAAGGCACTTGAAATGGTTGGGGATATGACTAGAGAAGGAATTGAACCAAATGCAATTGTGTATAACCCAATAATTGATGCATTAGCAGAAGCTGGAAGATTTAAAGAGGCCATGGGCATGTTGGAACGTTTTCATGTTCTGGAAATAGGCCCTACTAATTCCACATATAATTCTCTGGTAAAGGGGTTTTGTAAGGCAGGAGATCTTGTAGGTGCTAGTAAGATTCTCAAAATGATGATAAGTAGGGGTTTCCTCCCAAGTCCAACCACCTATAACTATTATTTTAGGTACTTTTCAAGATGTGGGAAAATTGAGGAGGGGATGAACCTGTATACAAAGATGATTGAATCTGGTTATACCCCAGATCGGCTAACTTACCATCTTTTGGTGAAGATGTTATGTGAGGAAGGGAAGTTAGACTTGGCCGTTCAAGTTAGCAAGGAAATGAGACATAATGGGTATGACATGGACTTGGCTACAAGTACCATGTTAATTCATTTGCTTTGCAAAATGCGTAGGTTGGAAGAGGCTTTTGCGGAATTTGAGGACATGATACGGAGGGGTATAGTTCCTCAGTATCTCACTTTTCAGAGAATGAAAGCTGAGTTAAAGAGACAAGGTATGACTGAAATGGCTCAAAAGCTTTGCAAGTTGATGTCTTCTGTTCCCTATTCTACCAACTTGCCAGATACTTATAGTGAAGACAGAGATGATGCACATGGACGAAGAAAATCTATAATTAAGAAAGCCAAAGCATTTTCTGATATGTTGAAGGACTGTAAGGACCCTAGTGAACTTCGTAATAAGTATAGAAGTTCATCAGAAAAAGCTGTCTCAAATGCAAACTGTTTGATAGAGGACAAGGGGGAAAAAGTGCAGGATGAAAATCTGTGATCTTAGTATCAAAAGGGAGCAATTGTGGACAGTTTGAACTCGTGGGAATCAGTTTACATTTGTTCAAAAAATTTCTGCTGTACTTCCCTATGCAATTTGTAGGCATCATAGTAATAAAGTAAGCAGATCAGTGCACGAGTTACTATTGTCTACATTAGCATGTGCAAACAGAGTTCGTTATACAGAAATAGCCTACACTTTCAGGTAAAGTTGTTATACTGAATTCCTTTGGTAAATCTTCAGCATCTGCATATTTCTAGTTTTTTGTTATTTTTCCACTTGAAAGGATTAGATCCGTGCTCCATAGTTTACATGGTTCTGTTTATTTTCTTTCACTTACATGTTCTGACAGGGTTTGCTTCTGTTAATGTACATTACAATCGTCTTACAAATGTGGAGATCTTCCTTATTTATGTTTTGTAATATATTTTGAGTATGAAATGTAGGCAAATGCTTGAGGAAATTAGTCATGCAATGTGGTTGGATGTGTGTTTTTTTTTATTTTTTATTTTTTACTTTTCTAGGTTTGCTCTTATCTTTTTCTATATTTGAGTTAGTTTTTGGGCGTAGCATTTGTGGCCTTGCTCTTTGCGAAGCGCTGTTTTGTGTAAATCATAATGACATTTAGTTAAATTTAATGGTACTATAGAGGATAATTTAGTTAAATAACCATGTCTTGTTATTTCCCAGCTGTATTTAGTTTCAGCATTTGATATCTAAGGTTTTCATGGGATTCTGAGTTTTTGGAACAGTTTTACTTTTGATTATTACTTTGGGTTCAAGATAATATCTATTGCAACTTCTGTTGCGAGATTTGTTTGTGCACGACGCTTAATTAGATTGTGTTAATTAAGTCTATGATAGGATATGAAAGCAGCTTGTCACTCGTCATCCTGAGTTCATTTGTATACTCCAGTTTGATCTTAGAGTTTTACGGGAATGAGGATAAATATTCTTTCTGTTTCTACAAATTCCATGTTCCTTGAACCCGTGGAAAGGAAGCTGTTTTTGTTACCTTAATGCACTTGTGACCATACTTTTGAGAATTATTTGTTTCCATGGATGTGTTAGTTAATAGCTGAAAAAACATTTTCTTTTTCTGTTCAACATGGATTGTTGCAGGTAGCTGAAAGGGCCCTTTTCTTATGGAACAATGACCACTTTGTCAACTTGATTGCGCATAACCGTCAAGTGATCCTGCCCATCATATTTCCCGCTTTAGATAGTGTTCAAAGCCATTGGAACCCGGCAGTCATCAACCTAACACACAATATTAGAAAGATGTTCTTGGAGATGGATGAGAAGCTCTTCATTTCTTGTCACAATCACTTTAAGGAAGGACCTTTTAACAATTCATTCTCATGATAACAACCTTAGAACAACCTTAGAAAATCTTTCTAGAATCTTTTAACATAAAAATAAAATAAACTATTTGTGACAAAAAAAATATGATCAAGCTGTGTTCATAAAGTTTTTTCAACCAAATTATTAAGGTGGGGGATGGTAAATAAATATTTAAAGACCGCTAACACACTGTTCTTGTCTCGAAAAGTTCACAACCCTTCTCAAGTTAATGGATCATCTACTTAGGTAATTTGTTTGAAACTTGGTATATCCAATTCCGACTGTCCCACACCAGATACAGAAATTATGGAAATTACACATGATATAGATGCAGAAAAGTTATAGAATATATGCAAAACAGTTAAGGGTCAAAAACGGAAGAGTTGAATAAACATACAATTGAATTATAATTGGAATTGAACTATAATTTTTAATCGAAATGTTGAATTACAATAGGATTTTTCTTCTTGAAACGCAAAAGTTATAATTCAATAGAAAATACCAAGTCCAGCACAAGAAGTATTGATACTTTGTCAAATATCTGCTAAAACCCTAAACCCTAAAAAACCCTAAACCCTAAAAAACCCTAAACCTTAAACCCTAAACCCTATAAGAATACCTGAGTTACTCCCGCCTTTACAAATATAATTCCCCTTATATTGGTTCTGTCTACAAACATTATTTCTCTTACAATTACCATTCTCTGTTTTTCAAAATAGCCAACAACTTTATTTTGAAATATAATTTTATTACGAACCACCCAAATGACTCATAAAAAAGCAAACCAAATTACTTGCCACATATCCTTATTGATGTTAACTTGACTTCACAATACCTTGAATTGTAAAAAAAAAAATATTCATTACACTCTACGTTAATGTTGATATACCCACCCACTCAATTAGTTGATAATTTATGTAGTTTGTTGAAACGATTACACGATAGTTCCCCAATTTTCCGACAACTAATCACATCCTTGAGCAAAATAGCAATGTTAGTCTTGACTTTGTTGTACTACAATTGCAATTAATCTAGTCAAGAATTTCTCCACCAAGTTGTCCTATGAAGTGAGATTGTGGCTAGGGAATGATTGCAACCATGTCTTATCTCTTCTAGGAAGGGAAAAAGGAAGTAACCTTAACCGGGTAGCTTCATAAGACACTTGTTGTATCTTCATTGTATTACATAGCTCAATAAAAGGAGTGAGATGAGCATATGGATTTTAATGGTCTAGCACATAAAAATGATTGTGTTGGACCAAATTAAGAAAGACGGAATTCATCTCAAAATGTGTAGCAAAAACAGTTGGCTAGGCAATACTAGGGTGTTTGTTCTTCAACCATTACTACCTCCTCTTGATGTGAACTCAATTTATAGGTAGAAAATGAGTTTGTTTTCTCCTTGGTTTGCTTGTTACTCCTTCCTTCTTCTACTGATGTTCCTCCTAGCTATCTGTGGTTGAAAAATAACTTATAAACTAGAATGGTATCTCTCATACAAAAATTTCACATAGAACTAGAAGAACAAATGAGATCAAGATGATTAAAATTTAAATAAAAATTAAAGAAAATTAAATTGGAAAAATATAAAACCAAATAACAACAAAAATAAATTTGCCAAAGTATTGAGATGCAAGTCTCGAGCATCAGCATCATTTACTTCTTATGACTTTGACAAGCATACTAAGTTGAACAAGTAGTAAACATGGTGAGATCAAGTTTTGTTTGCCAAGAGACTTAACATAATACTATTAAAATTTACTTTTAGCATATCTAGGTTAAAAAATATATTCAAAATTGTTTGAGAATTAAAATAAGAATTTAATTTAAATAAAAACTTCTAAAGAGTATTTTTAGAATTTTCAACTATTTAGAAGTGAAAAAAAATTGTTGTGAATTAATATGGATAAAGATATTGGGGTTTGATTTCACCGATTGCGACCGTTTTCACATGTATCATATAATTAATTATTAGATTTTAATTTATGTTAATCTAACAATCAATAAATTTATTTAAATCTTAATTCGTTAAGTGTGAAAATATAAGCCCCTTAGTTAATGATTATCAGAAAAAAGTTTCTTGATTAATCTCTTAATTTATTGTAAAGGTTAATAAAACGACTTGCATTAAGATAAGAGATTATAAAATATATGGATTCAAGTTAGTTATATCAACTCCCAACAAGGATGAGTTTAGATACTTACAAACATAGAAAAATAAAAGCAAATGAAGATAATGACACAATGGGTGTGAAAGTCATGAATGTACTTATATAGTAATCAATTTTACTAAAAAGGTTTTCACCACAAATATCAAATAGATTGTCCTCCATTTTTAGCATTAAAATATTATCAAGAACAATAATGCCAAATAGAGGCGTGCTTAAGCAAAGCATAGCATAAACGAGAGTACTTAGTCTTTTATAATTTGACTTGCTTAAGCATGAGTACTTCTTGCTTAATTATTGTGGCTATTTTTTCTGTCTCCTTCAAGTAACAAAAAATAGTTTGATTAAGTTAGAGTTAATATTTTGATTAACTCTTTCATTTGTAAAATTTAACCAAAATTAAACAAAGATCAAATAAAATTAACAAACAGCAAATAATTTAAATTTGTTTGTTTGTAATTTAGATGAAAATTTAACTTCCAAAATAGGCAATTTTTTTTTAAAAATAAAGCTATAATATATTTAAAAAAAGTAAAACATATATAACAATTATCATTGGCCGACACTAATTTGATTTTTTCTTACTGTGGCTGATTTTTCACAACGTGGACCAATGTTTGAAATCCGTTGCTAGAAAAATATTCATATTTAACATGAAACAAAAGGTTGAACAAAATTGTCTCCAAAGCAAACATCTAATAAAAAATCATTTTTTTAAAAAAATAATGTTATGAATTGATGATGATCTCCATATATATATATATATATATATATTGAAGTACCTATCTTAGAAATTGGCAACAATTAAAGAACAACAAAAATTAAGGCAATTTTCTTTTTAAAATATATAACAAGTATCATTTTAAAAATAAAAAATTATATCACATTAATAAAAAATATATTTAAACCTTTAAACTACTACCCTGTCCCTAATTATACATCCTTTTAGAAAATTAGTTAATTTAGTTAAGGATGTTAAATTTGTCAATAATTTAAACCAACTTTCAAAATTACCATTTTCATCTCTTAAAATTAATATTTTATCTTTTCAAGTAATAATTTTTCTCATAATTAAGTAATGTTTATCTTTGTCAAAAAATTAATTAATATTTAAAAGAGAGATATTTATATGTCTATTTATCTTTTTTAATCTTAATAAGAGAGAGAATTTTTATCCAATTAATTTTAAATATTTATTATCTTTCGTCTAAATTTTTTATAAATAAATAAAAATATTTTTTTAAAAAAATATAATCAATACATGTGACACTCAAATGAGGGTCTTATAATAAGAAAGTGAAAAATGTTATTATTATAAAAAAGAAGGAAGGTAATATTTACATATAAAACAAATTCGAAGATGCCAATGGTGGAGTGTGGCATTACTTTCAAACTATATATGGTGGGTCTTTGTTTGGGATAAAGAGTGTTTGCAAATTTTGTGGCCAAAGCCGAACCTGTTATGGTTTTGCTTTATAAGAAAGACAATAAAGTCACTCACTCACTCACACTTTATAACTTATTTGATTGTAACTTTTTTTTAATAAATAAAATATAGGTATTTGATCAATCGAAAAGAGCTTATGCTCCATAGTTGTACAAATTTTACCTTTTAATTTATATATACTTTAAAAGTATTTATTTTAAAATTTAAATTTCTATACAAATACTTTCAATTCTCTTTTAGTTTGTAATCACCATTAAAAAAGTTAAAATTATTAATATTGAATGACATGACATTCATTATATGTTATTGATATGGTACTTACATGCATTGGATACTTCGCGTTTTAGTTTAGATATTAATATTAATACCATTTTTATATTTTAACCTTTTTACAAAACATTTACCAATAATTTTTTTAATGAATTAACTAATGTGATACTAAGCATATATATATTGGGTGTGTTTTGTCTCGCATTTGTATCCATGGAAGGTGAGTTTTGACTCATCAAACGTGATTACAATATGACAAGATGTGTTGGATCTCATTTGAAATGTCACCCTCAAACACAAGTTCTAGTCAAACTTATTGCCAATAAATCAAAGCAAAATCAATTTTCTTTTTCAGTATGCTATTTGCTAGCTCATCTTTACCCTTCACCATAAATACGATAGACCATAATTTTCACCAGTTTCATCATCTCTCGAGTTCAGATCAAGAACAAACACACCCGAATTGCTTTCATTTGTGTTGGTTCAATTCGTTTGAACTGTAATTATTCTTCTGTTTCATAGACTTTGCACTACTAGAAAAATATCATTTTCTTGCAAATTTTTCTGCAAAAAAATATTCGCAGAAATTTTTTGCGAATTTTTAATTTTCCTGCAAAAAAATATTTATAGAAATTTTTTGCGAATTTATTTGCGAAAAATAATTTACAGATATTTCTTACAAATTTTGCTATAATTTTAATAATCATAAAAAAAAATTTCATGGTAAAAATTTGCAGAAAATATTGTAAGAATTTTATTTTGTTTCTTGCAAAAATAAATTCGCAAGTAATGTTTACTAAATGGTATAAAAATTTTGTAGGTAACTTTTTTTTGCGGATTTTCCTGCAAATTTTAATCCGCAGGAAAAATAAAAAAAAATATATATTTAAATATATAAGTTTAATATTTTAAAAAAACTTCAAGTCCCACATCGATTAAAAATAAAGCAATTAAAGAGTATATAAGTTGGGGCAACACTTACCTTACAAGTTGATTTATATGGTTGAGTGTTAGGCTTATAATCTACAATCTTAGAATTTAAAAGATTATGTATCACATGTTGGAGGCATGGAAACAAATGTTTCGGATGAATTCATTGTGAGCATTTGAAAGTTGAAAAATTATTGATAGAATTTATAGTAATTTCTTTAATTTTTTTCGTAAAAAATATTCCTGCAAAATTTCTTACGAAAAAATTCGTAGAAAACTTTCTTACGAATCTTTTTTTGTAGGAAACTTTCCTGCAATTTTTTTTTTCACAGGAAACTTTCCTGCGAATTTTTATTGCAAGAAATTTCGCAGAAAAATTTCCTGCGAATTTTAAAATTCGCAAAAAAATATTATCCACGAAGGTATT